ATTTCGAGTAAATTTTACCTTAATCATTTAGGAAGTTATTTTTTTATTTGTGATATAAGCTCACTTCACTTCAGATGAAATATTTCCTTTTTTTAAGGAAATATATTATGTACTATTTTTGGTTAAAACAAAAGTGGAACGAATTGAAAGCAGAGATAGATAGTGGCTAGAAGTGGAATCCAGAATGCGCGTTTCGTCCAATTTGAAACTCTTCAGCCTGATGTACCAGTATCTCAGAGTTGATGCTCATTCCGGGACTCGAACCCAGTACCGTTTGTTTCCAACGCCATTGCACTATGTCTTCCTATTGTTATTTAGGACTCGTCACTATCCATTTTGCTTATAAAGCTTGTAACTTCAGGAAATATCTAGGCAGTCCGCATAGGATGCACATATGCCAATAAGAGACTGATCAATTACAGTCCTAAAACAACAATGGGAAGATACAAGTAAACAACACCAAGTGCAATGAATTTATCGGCAGATTATTACTTTGATTTTCATTGTTTTCGGTTGAGAACAAATAAACCAATGAAAATTATAGTTATAAATTTCTTTTATTTATAAGTAAAAGTGAATAGTGGCTAACAGTGGAATCTAGGACTCGCGTTTCGTCCCAATTGGGACTCATTAGTTGGATGTGCCTTCATCCCAGATTTGATGACGTATATATTAAAAGAAATAAAACATAAAGAAAATAGTAATTTAAATATGTAGCAGTAGCAGTGATTGTCCTGCTACTACTAATCATAACAATAGTAATAATAATAATAATCTGTTATAATTAAGCGTAGAGTGGTATAATTATTTTACTACTAGTTGACTTTTATTTTCATTTATATCGTTAAATGATCAAACGGAATTAAGATGTTGATTGACGAAGATGATTCAGTTGTCAGTTAGTTTTCATCATGACTTACTTATTTAAGTCTGTTACTCGTTGTGAAGGATCATAGGCCGACCAGCAGGATTCTTCATTCAATCATGTTCTGGGCAATGTTTTCCAGTTGATGTTCATCCTTTATATATCTGCTTCCGTTTCCAACCTTTTTTCTACTTCTTTTCAGTTTACAATAAGATGTGACTCAATCATAAGTGTTCAAGTGAAGAGTATGTACAAAATTAATGTACTTTTCTTTGTTACACCTTTTAACGTACATTAATCGATTGAATAAGCTGAATGATAGCTGAGTAGTTAATGAGTATAAGAAACGTGAAAACTAAATTAAAGAATTGAAATAACATTAGAACTTGTCAGTAACTAATTTATTGTGTATGGAGTCATTGTAGAATGAATACTTAGATGTGTCCCTATTGTGCTCAAGTTTAAAAAAAGGATGATTATTTAAATTTGTGCAATGCATTAGTTATTGATTTGTATTCCATCTTGAACCAAACTGTCCAGTTGCAGATATGAAGTTGAGACAGTGTGTCGAGAATTGACATAATGTTCTGATATTAAACAATCGATTGTTTTATATTCATCTGTTTAAAGTTGAGCAGTATAATTCTTGGACGGATATTTAGAATGTTATTGTTTTTTACGGCCAATATAACTTACTAGACAAGAATAATTAACCTTATAAATACATAATGATGTAAAGCAAAGCTGTGGGTTCATCTTTGACATTTCGACAAATGAATAAAGAGATTAGAGATGACAATAAAAAGCTTAAGAATATAACATCAGATGGGTTTTGTGGATATTATAGTAATTTCAATGGTTAAGATCATGTCAGTTGAAGCCAAACCACCATGGAAAACCTGGAAGCACTGGATGGCCGTTTCGTCATATTGTGAGACTCCTCAGCAATGCGCATCCACGACCTTTAACTTTAACGGTATTTCTATGTTTTTATTTTATATCTTCAGATTTTTTTAATGGAGTTCGTCTTTTCCCTTTGTAAATAATAGAAGTAAGATAGATTCAATGTAACAACCTTAAATTCTATTTACTTGTATCTTCACATTGTTATTTAGGACTGCAATTGATTAGTCTCATATTGACAAATATGCATCCTGTGCGGACTGCCTCTATATTGCGTTAGATCACAAGCTTTATAAGCAAAGATGGATATTGGCTAGCAGTGGGGTTGCTGAGTCTTAAAGAGGACGAAATGCACATCCTCGATTCTACTATTAAGCAATATGCATCTTCAAATTCACTTGGTATTGCTTACTTGAATCTTGATATTAGTGTTTAAGACTGCAATTGATCAGTCTCTTGTTGACATATGTGCATACAGTGCATATTGACTCGATATTGCTAAGTTGATATTGCAATAGCGTTTGATCAAACGGCACTGAGTTTGAGTCCTAGAGTGAATTTCAACGCTGACATACACGTACATCTAGTTGATGAGTCCAAAATAGGACGAAACCCACGTCCTCGATTCTCCTGTTAACCACTATCCATTTTTATTTAAATTCTATATTTAAAAGAAAATTATACCATCTATATCTTTTCTTTTTATCAATTCTAAACACCGATTGTTTGTTTATTTCTTTTTGCTTTATTCAATATCTCTCCATCATTATTTCTATATTCAATTCAATGTATTTTAAGCAGATAATAAATTGAAATGACAATCAACAGAATGAACACTTTTTTCTTCTAATTTGACCTAATACATCAAATCAATTTGACTTGATTATTGAAGAGCAATTGTATATTCAGACATTCTCATTCGAGCCCCCCCCACACACACACCGACACCCTCACCCCCCCCCAGATAGTAAGGTATAATTATATAATTCTATTTGTGTAAATTCAATTAGTTTTAGTTGTAATATTGCATTACCCAATGAGAATTCACTTGAGTTAGTTATCATTTTACAAGTTTATAATAATGAATAGATGAAATGTGACTTTCGTCTGGATCACAATTCAGTTGAAATATGAACATCAGAATAACCTAAATCCGTACAAATTCTATTGAAATTCATACTTGTTACACAAGTATCTGAATATAGTATCTAAGTAGATAACCAGTTGGTTATTTCAAGTGAAAGGTAATTGGTTTGAATCCTTTAGCGAATAAAAATACTGAGATGTAGGTGAATCTGGCTGACAATGCATTGTTCCTGGATCCTAATCATAGCAGCCTTCAATCTCTCTGTCTATCGATGAATCAATTAAAGATAGGTCAACATGGAAGCATTGGACGACCGTTTCGTTCCAGTAGAGAACTCCTAAGCAATGCATATCCATGACCCCGCTCGCTGGATTCGAATCCAGGACCTATCGGTCTCGCACGTGAATACTTAACCTCAAGATCACTGAGCCGGAATCCAGCGGTATTAATGTTCAACTTCAACTAATCCACGTTAATGAATTCACTAATGATGTAAAATTTATTTATAGTTTTCAATATTAGTGATCTCTTTTTTACAGACTATTCATTTACAAAAACGGTTTTCTGAATGACTAGAAACCGGCTGAACATTTGTCGTAGATTTTTTGTTTCTTTACAATATTTATATCTTAAAATCTTGTAGCGTCTAGTACAGTGTCAAGTTGACATGGGTTATTCCATCTTCTGGACAGACCTATTTATCCAATTTTTTCCGTGTCACCTTCTGACCTTGTTAATTATTCGGTTATTATGACTGACTGTTTTTAAAATGAGTGTATTTATGTATATCACTCAACCTATTCGTTACGTGTCTGTAGCTTATTATTATCTGATTATGAATAATAAGTTACGCTTTGTCAAAACGTATTGGTTCACTCGTATTCTCCATTGCATGTCGCTTCGTTTCGTCTCACTTCACCTTCTACCAAATACTATCACTTTACTTCGCTTTCTCGCTTCTTATTCTAAATGTTTGTCTGGATAAACAAAATGATTGAAATAAATTCCTCCAACTCAACCCGTATTTAGTTTCTTATTACCTCTTTCACACAAACAAAGTTAGATTTGGTGTAATATACAAAGTTAAATGGAAGATCTATGTTCATAGTATGTTCATACGTTCATCCAAATCTGGACTTAGATACATGACCTACAAAAATAGGGGAACCAGATCAAATCACATTTCAAGGCTTATTGATCATTGACCATAACGAATATGACATCAGTGAAAAATGATCACTCCATAATGCTTAGAATAATTTCCATTTGTTTCCCTTACTTTACTCATTCTGTTGTCATAAATGTTTAGGATAAAATGTAATATCCCGGTGAGAGTAATGAATGCTTACTGTAGGGATCTATTCATGGATCAATATGATACGTATATTCTTTTATTGTATAGTTGTTAAGTAACTGACCTGTTCATATTCGTGTTCTTATTATTATAAGCTTTATTTTGAGCTATGAGCTATTATTATTACCATTTTCCATTCTTGAGTTATACCTAGTCTACCAATCACTATCTCTCTCATTCACAGCCACTTTTGGCTAAATCTTGTACAAATTATATCTTCCATTTTATAGTACGATGTGGTCTGTTTGGTTGGTACCTAAACCCAGTATTAGATAGTGGTTGGAGATAGTCAACGGGAAACACTGGACCCGGGTTTCATTCTACTTGACACACTTCATTAAAGTTTACCTGTAATCTTGAGGGAACTGGTGCTCCCTAATCCCGTGTCATCCAGCTTCATAGTCAGAGACGTTATCACTTAGCATCCCGGTCCGCGACCGATCTCTTGTAGAACTGAGACGTAATCACAATTGATTGATCACTTAGTGGTGATCAATGTCATGTGTGTCAAGTCCTTTTTAGTGCAGATGGATAGCATTTGATCAGTCAATCGTGATAAATCCAGTATGTTTGAAATGAATGATTTATATCATAGAGGTTAAGATTGGTATTATGGACCGATAAACACTCTAGACTGCTTTTACGAGTTTCATGTATCATTTGGTTCGATCGATAATTCACTGTTCTCTCAATTGGCGATATCATTACAATGATACATTGATAGGGGGTACAAAACCATATAAAAGAAAAAAAAACCCTTCTTTTTCACTTAAACGTTCTTTTTGTTTGTTTTTCTCTTCTCTATTTAAAATGATGCAACAAAATAGAGAAATTCAATATATGGAAATTTCTTATCACATTCATTATGTACAATTGAAATTGATTATTGTCAATACTTTGAAAATGAATTCACTGAAAACGGGGGGGGGAGGTAGGAAACTCTTCACTGAACTCATCTTTCTTATTCAAGGGTGTATTCCGTTTATGAAACAAAGTAGTTATGTTTTGAATAGTTGATAAGTGAATAACTTATGTACAATTGTTGTATATATATGCATTAGCATAGGACAAGAAGGATACTATCTTATCTTATCCAACCGATAACATTAATGATGATGTAATGAATTCTTTACAATCTATAATACTTTTGTATTGAATAAGAAGATAAATTGGGTTCATCAAATATACTTGGATATAACATTACATAATCTCTTCATAACATCTCAGAATCATACAGTTAAAGTGTTCCTAAATCAATCTAGACTTTATTATTCTATTTGTTTCCATAGTGATTATTGTCTTTTCTTTGATCATCTTCAAATAGTTCACTTTCCATTAATGATATATACATATATATATCTATATATACTACTTATATTGATCAATATCAGTAATACATGTTGCACTTTCATGATGTATTTCAGTATTATTACCAATTATCATGGTTCCCCCTCTCGTTTAACACTTGTAGTAATTAATTGATTAACAGTATGATATTTATATCTTCGTGTTATTGGTAATTTATTATTATGATCATTAATCGATTGTTGTTGTTGTGGTTGTTGTTGTAATTCATTATTGATTATATTACCTTTATGTAATTCAATAATTTTAATAAATGCTTGTCTAAATATCCGATTATAATAGGCATATATTATAGGATTAATTGATGAATTAAAATAACCAATCCAATATAAGATCTCTTGTAATTCATTTGGATATTGACATTGTTTACATAAATTTGTAATGGTATACCATAAAAAAAATGGTAACCAACATAATAAAAATGCACCCATCACAATACCAAGTGTACGTGCAGCTTTATTTTCATGTTGTATTTTAATATTTGAATAATATTGCTTATTGATATGATGTAATTTCGATGATAATGAGGAGGAGGAGGAGGGGGAGGATGATGATGAGGAGGAGGAGGGGGAGGATGAGGATGATCCTGATGATGATGATGATCGATTAATTGTTGGATCATGAATTAAGATCGAATTAGTTTTATTATTCTGATGTTTATTGATTTGTTGCATTATCATCGTATTATTGATTTGTGTTATATTATATGGTGTATATAATTGAATAATTTTTTTTTCTTGTTTTTTTGCTTCAATAAATATACGTATATAAACTAAGATCATAATAATAGATGGTATCCAAAATGATATTGATGATGATATAATTGCATAATATGGATTCACATTAAAATTGCATAGAAACAAATCATCATCATGATCTAAGTTTTGTTTCATTCTAGATATACTACTTATATTGATTTGTATTTGTGATCTATCCATTAAACTATGTAATGGTTTATGTAATCCCATTAAAATTGGTATATAAGATATCATAAATGATAATGTCCATATAATACATAGTAATATAATAATATACTTTTTAGACATTTTCTTATCATAATTCAATGGATATATAATGGCAATATAACGATCCATTGATATACAACATAAATGTAATATACTAGATGTAGTAAATAATACATCTGTAGCATTATAAATATGACATAATAATTTCCCAAATATCCATTTATAATTTAATAAAGACATGATAGCATTCAATGGCATTACTAACAGAGCAACAAGGAAATCAGCTATAGATAATGATACAAGGAATAGATTAGTATGTATAGATCTTAATTGTTTATATTTTATATAAGCAATAAATACTAAAGCATTACCAAATAATGCTGAGATAATAATTAAAGTATATAGAATCACTTTAATAAATATGATCAGTTTATAAAGAATATCATAGAATTGATTCAATTGTATTGGATCATTAGTATGTATACTTGTACTTATAATGATACCATGACTATTATTATCACTATGGTTACTATTATTATTATTAGTATTATTATTATTAGTAGTAGTATTACTATGATTATTATTGTTGCTGCTGTTGTTGCTGTGGTGGTGGTGGTGGGGTTGATATAAAGAATGAATAATTTTTAATGTATTCACTTGGAATTCAGTAAATAACATTCGATTAAAATTGTATATAAAATGATTTAATCAATAATGAAGATTCTAGAAAAGAAAATGTTTATCATTTATTTTATTCATATCTGTAAGAAAGAAAGAAAGAAAAAAGAGAAGAAAGTAAACAATAATAAGTAGAAAACTGTTGAGGATGTTAGATCCTCGGAACTCACGTGGGAAAGGACCTAATTTTGTAATTTTATTTAAAAAAATTCAATTTCTTTGTTTTCGCGCCAATGGTGCTCTCCATGTCGTGTTTCCCACTGGGAAATATCTTAAATGCTATTGGTCAATTGTATCTTTTAGTATGCTACTTGGTAACTCTCCCCAAGGAAGGTTTCGTACTGTATATGTATGTTTGGAATTGTGTTTGTTGTTATCGCTCGTTTCTGGCTGTTTTCAGAATATACTTCCCTATTCCAAGCCTGGACTTCTCCCTTTAGTTAGCGAGGCTGGGACACATCAATAGCTAGGCTATTGGTCTTTGGTCATCGAGTCTTGTTTCTTGTTCGCAGATTAAGTGAACTCGTGATGGCTTCTACATTAGCAAAAACATACTATTCTTATATAACAATTCAGTTTAATTTGATGGGTATTATAGTAAATTGAATAGTGGAGATCATCAGTCAAATGGAGTTAGACTGTTATGGGAAATCTGGAAGTATTAGATGGTCGTTTCGTCTTCTGGTGGGACTCTTCAGCGGTGAGCATCGAAAACCACGCCTTGAGAGATTCGACTACAGAGCCTATCGGTATCGCACGCGTACGTTTAACCTCTAGATTATTGAGTCAGTATCTAACGGTGTTCATCTTTACCTTTAACTAATCTATGAAATTGGGCGACACATTCACTATTGTCTTCAGTGAGTTACTATCTTAAAACAGATCTGATTAAACTCCACTGGTCACTGTTTCTAACTAGAACTCAATAGAACATTCGATAAGTACACTTGAAATAATCAAGTTCAAAGAATACATTAGTGAGATTGGTGTATTATTCGAAGTATGTTGATGAAACCTTCATCGTATGTAATAATCAATAACATTTGACAAACCTGCTGAAACTTTTCAACAAAGCTAAACTATGCATATTAGTGTTCCTCTTATTATAAGCTTTATTTTGATCTATGAACTATTATTATACGATTTTCCATTATTGAGTTATGTTCACTCTATCAATTACTATCTCCCACATTCACAGCCACTTTTGGCTAAATCTTGTACAGATTTTATTTCCTAATTTATGGTACGATGTGGTCTGTCTGGTTAGTATATAAACCCTTAGTGTTTGAAATACATGATCTACATCACAGTGGCTGATATTGGTGTTCTGCACTCAACAGGTTGGTCTAGTCAGGGAGCAGAAGCGGTAAAGACTGTAGACTGCTTTTACGGGTTTATGTGTTATTGGCTCGATCGATAAGTCACTGTTCTCCAATTGGCGGTATCATTACGTCACAAGTTGTAACAGTTCCAATCCTACGTTGAACTACTTTCATTCTTTAAAGAAGAAAAAACCAAAGATTATTTGACATAAAGATCAGAATTGACGATATTAATTACTGTTGTACTTTCTTCCCTTAACGATAATAACCATTAACATTTATTCATAATAACATTGTTTGACTGATAAATGAAATACATAAACGTGTATACTGATTATGTGATTCACTTGATTCATATATTAATACCAAATACTAATTATAACATCACGTATTCAATTATAAGTTGGTTTCATGTATCACTTCGTTGAATAGTTGTGATATTCTAGTGAAGATCAAGTTAGAGGACTAATATTATACGTATATTCTTATGGCATAACTAATCAGTAACTAGACTGTGTATATCCATATTCTTCTTATTATAAGCTTTATTTTGACCCATAGACTATTATGCTGATATGGCTTACTATTCTCAAGTTATGTTCAGTTTATTGATTACAGTCTCCCACATTCACTGCAACTTTCTGATTTGATCTTGTATAAATGTTATTTCTTATTTTATGGTATGATCTGATCTCTTTGCCTGGTATATAAACCCAATATGTTTGAAATAAATGATTCGTATAGTGGAAGATAGTATTGATGTTCTGAACTCAACTGGATGGGCTAAGAGGTCAAAGGACCAATAAGGACGCTCGGCTGCTCATACTAGTCGAACGTCATTGGTTTGACATAGTACTAAACTTGTATAAGTTGTATTTCGATTGACGAATAAGTCACGTGATAACTAGCCTGCCTTAAATTCACAACAATTCTTATTTAACAATTCACTTTAATTTAGTAGAACATCCGATAACTACACTTGAAAGAATCAGGCTCAAAGAGACGATCAGTGAGAATGGTGTATTATTCGAAATATCTTGATGATTCCTTTATCATACAATCAACGTAAGCAACTATAGTAATCACGATACCTAATTTTATTTATTTCAATTCAAAGGTGATGATATGACAGATTCAATGAGCATGAACTAAAGGTTGCATTAATAAAAACGTATCCTGTAGTTAAACTGATTATCTTGTCCAAAACAACATGTTCTTGAATGTAATCGAACAACGATAGATATTCTTTTCATGTTACCACCAACTATGCATACAAATTTACATGTATCTGTCAAAGCAGTTACATTGATAGAACAGAAAGGAAAACCTAGATCCGTTTCAAAGAATATATTTCAAAGCGTCTAAGGACAAACAGACTATAATCATTCAACAGCGTTAAATCAAGATATCTCTTTAATAAAGGGCATCAAGTGAATACACTGAAGTCTTTCAAGGTGATTAATAAACAATGAAACTTCAGTCTTCTGAAATTTGCAAAAAACGATAACGATCGAACTTCTGAAACCAGATCTATGTTTTCGAAAATAAGCGGTAATAACTCTTTCTTTGCCCTGGCAAAATTACATCCTTTAGACTGATACCATTCATTACTTTAACTCTTTCTTAAGTTTTGATTACATCATTATCACTTTTCTTTAACCCATAATTGATTGCTTTCAACTTATATCTTTGTAATCATTAATCTCTCCCCAGTTAGTTCATTACACAATCATCTAATATCTGTTAACTCTATGATTACTAAACACTAGGTCGATGTTCTGGAATTTTTTCTCAATTGTCCAGTGTATGTTTGCACAGGGAATGAATTGCCAGATTGTGTGGAGTTTTGTTCTCTGAACTAGATGATTTGGTTGTGAGGCTTTCATCGTTCTTCTGAATGACATGAAAGCTCCACGACCAAACCATCCAGCTCAGAGAGCAAAACTCCATCAAAATCATCCACCTGAGGTACAAATATCCATTATCTCACAAATCATCAGCTATATAATAGCAAGTAAACTAATAATGACGTACAAATGCTTCAAAAAGCTGGAATTTACTGTAGACACATCCTCAAACTGAGTTACATTTTGAAATTCAATTAAATGAATACTTTACAAAATGATCATGAATTGACTGTATATTTGTATAATTGAATAATTCAATGTTATCATGTCTACTACATAGGACTCAAATATACTATGTTTCATCACATAATGCAGAATTCTTAATTTGCGATGATTAGCAGTTGTGAGCTGTAATGTAACACATATCCAACTCTATGTAGCTTTCAATGGTTCTTCAATGGATCTAAGTTCATAATGATAATTACTTATGATAAACTATAGACTTTAATACAATTAAAAACTGCAATTAGTACTACAAGTAGTACAATATATGTTGACTTTTGAGAAAATTGGGTATTCATAGTATAACAATATAATGGCGATGTAAGGTGATGAGGTTATAAATCTTCACCGACTGAGATGGTTTGGTGTTAAGTATGCTTGAACACCGATTACCACGACACGAAGTGATGACTGGTGTTGGAGATGGTTGTAAAAAATTTAAACGCGGCCGAACCAAAACATTGTATAAGTCCGTGAAATCACTAATTTATGATCTGAGCCATGTTGGTAGATTCAGACTACTTGGTTGGGGTTCATGTGTCTATTGTAACCAATGGTTGGAAACTCTGGATGACATGGCTAAGAATCGGTCGCAATGTTCTAAGTGTATACACATTCTGTCTTCCCTTAAACTTTCTTTCTACGAACTAATTCTTTCTTCCTGTGTTATATCCCTACACACAATCTTTCTTTTATATATTACTACCATTGAATTAACTACTTCTATGAATTCGGTGTTCATCTTATTGTGCTAATGAAGTATGGCCACTTGGACCGCTGCATATATGTGCCTGGCCCTACGTTGTAGCTGACGGACTCTGATAATAGCATAGTTTATAACTTCAGAACATTGCTTTACTAAGTAATCACAATCCATCAAGTAAATTCTTTTCAAAGATTCTGATTTACGTCCATATTTGTTAAATAAGAATAGTTTACCAAATTTCAAGACGTTTACAGATTATAATCCATTATGAATTTTAAAAAATCAACCTTTAAACAGTTATGATTATCACCAACGTGACAACTTGAATTCTTTTTTTAACAGTAATATTAACACCATAACTTTTGAACAAATTAACAAAGATTTGAATCCCGTACCTCAATGAATAAAAAGTATTTCTGTTTGAAACGTAGGCTACTAGGTTCGAGTTCTAATATGAATAGCATCAGTAAGACTCGGGTTAGTTCAGTTGAAGAATTGTAAACAGGATGTAACATGAATCTTAGACTCTATTATTAGCCGTAATTTATATGTTACTAATGTTATAGCTTGTACAGTTTTGTACGGATTCTTATCACATTACAAAATCTATCATTCAATGCCACGCCTATCCCGGGATAGGTGTGACAAGCAAACAGACAAAATCAATACAATCAATCTTATGCAAACCATATGATGAAATAACAAAGGAAGACGAATAAAATATCATCTACAAAATAAATTGTGCCAACTGCGAAAAACACTACATCGGACAAATCGGACGCCCTCCTTCACCTTCGCCTACATGAACATCAATTAGCAATCAAACGCCATGATACTTCCTCA